GTGTGTGTATATATATACACACACATATATATATATATATATGTTTATACATATGTGTTTTTTCTTAAAACAGGTCATATCTTTACCTTCTCTGCCCATCCCTTCTCTGTCTTCCCTAGACAAATAACTTGGCCACAGCTGCTGCTGTACTTGCAGTTGGGTGCAGTTCTGCCTTGCTCCCTTGCTTTTCTATCCCATCTCTATTCTGCTTCATTTGTACCTGCGCTTGTTATTGCCGCCACCACAGGGAAGGACTAAAACCCCTTTTATGTGGGTAACTTTGTCTATTTAGAAAACCACCTGTTCGGCCATGCAGGGCTGGCTGGTGCCAGCGTTCTCGTGCGGGGGGAAGATGCAGGATGCTCCTTGTCTGGTGTCGTAGTTGCGCATCAAACGGGTGGCGCGTCGAGATATTAACGAATAATGGATTATTCAAGTCCCGAAATGTTGCCGCGGTCGCCTTAATTGCGTTTTTTAAATGGTTTATGCAGGCAAAAATAGCCACAAAAGCAAGGTAGACGGTGGCTGTTGGGAGCAGCAGCGAGAGCGAGCGCAGACTGCACCAGGGGCTATTCTTGCTGTGTCTCGGCAGCGGCAAACCAGAGCATATGTTGGACGTTAGCCTGGGTGTACACAGCGTGTCCTCTTCGCTCAAGGTTTCCTTTTGAAGCCGCAACTTACAAGTTTGTTTCTTAGGGGTACATGTCAGGCTGCATTTAGCATCCGTTGGTATTCGGATACTCCCGCGCAGCAAAAAGGCAACATTTTTGGGGGCAGAGCGCGGCTGCCGTCTGAGCAGCGATCTGTCACTTCCACTTAGGCGGCTGGAGGAGAAGCCGCGCTGCGGAGGGCTCGGATCCCCGCGTCGCAGGGGGAATTATTATTTATTATTGTGAAGCGCCGGGAACGGAGAATTAATCTCCATTTAAATGATACGTGGCGCCGCGTTTCTGCTCGGGACTGGGGGGGACGTTAAAGCCGAGGTCCGGCTGGCCCGAGTACTGCAATTTAAATTTCTAACGTGTTTTGCCTCGCAAGATGAGCCTTTAGGTGTCTGAGGGAAATTTGTGTGCTGCGATCAGGCACGAATTTCAGATTTTTAGGGCCTGTTTGACCCCGCTCTTTGAATGTACCGCTATTTTCCGAAAGCCAGAGTTAACACAAACCGCTTGCGTGGCTGTTTTGCCACATCCAGGTGTTGGATTTAATGCCTCCTCCTGTACGTTCCTAGCGTGCTCGCTGGGGTGCGAGTAATTCTCAGTGTTTTAGCCCATATTCTCCTCCGCAGTGTCTGAGCGTGGAGGGTATTGAAGGCAGAAGCAGCTTTGTCAGAGGATTTGGCTTTCCTTGCGTACAGCAAACCCCAGGAGAAATCCTGCCCGGGCACACGTGCGCGCACGCAAAAATCAATGCAAAAGAGCGGGGCATTCGTTAAGCTGTCAAAAACGGAATAAGTGCTTTTTTATTTATTTATTTAGGCCCTTGTAACTGGTTGGGTTTTTTTTTTTCCCCGAGTATTTGGAGTGTGCCCTGAATTACGAAACGTTGCAGCTTTATAATTCATGCTTGACAAATTAATATTTGGAGGCGGTTGGGGTTTTACAGGTGCAGACAACTCCATGGCTGCTTATATCCGGGGAGGGAGGAGAAAACTCTTTGGTTTATTGCTGAGAGGTCTGTCTGTAGGTGAACTACACGGCTATACCGTGTTATCCTATATCGCCATATCCCATAGCGTCTTGCCCTGTGCGGTGTGTGATGGAACTGGGTGAAATCATGGGGAAAACGGGCAGTTTTTGAGAGGGCTCATGAGGCAACGCTGGCCACCTCCAGTGGGAAGCACGTAAACCAAACTGTCTGACTGTATAGAAAATATAGGATTTTCCTTGGTGGAATGAGCAGCAATGGGGAAGGAAGAGGAG